CCCCTGTGTCGTTTTTGGGTCGGGCTTTGTGTGGTGTGTGCGTCGGACCGACCCTTCAAACAACACACACGAGTCGGACTCAAGGCGCCACAGAGCGACAGAGCGCTGGGCGAGTGGTCACCTCGGTCGAGTGTGACAGGGCGAGGAGCGTCGTCGCTCGGAAGCGGTGTAGGGCCGACTCACACCACACACACTCCTTCAGGCGTCTAACCAGCGTTTGCTGGTTAGACGCCTCTGGGCAATGCAATGCAGTGTATGGGTTTATGCAGTGATATGGGTTCTTCCATTTGTTACCTTTTTCTCTTAAGGTTGCTCCGCAAGACCCCGTCGTACCTGTCCATAAAAGACACAATCTGAAACATGAGCGAGAACCCACATGAAACTCCCAAACACTGAGACGTCTGACAAATGTACGTAACTTTTCGATGTATTGTGTGTTCTGCCCCATTATTGGTCTTTTCGTACTGTACCTGAAATTTAAGAGCAGACGGAACACTAGAAATCAGGTCGCAGACGGCCACTGGGCTCACAGGGAGGGGGGGGCAGGAGCTCCAACAAGCCGTTTAGGACAGAGAGTGAATACACATGCTATACAGAGATGCTGTATGAGAAACCAATGTGAGTTTGAAAAATTGCACATTATAAATCTATTTTAGCAGACCTCCACAATGGAATTATGATCAGTAGAAATGGCCATGACATGGGACCTTTACATAAAATAAATAAATGTTTAAAATATTGTTTTGAATATTTGTAGGCCAATATAATTGTTGTTCTGTCTTCGTATGTAATGCACAAAACACAATTTGTAACTATTTTGTATTACTCTGTTTGGGTGCCTGATAATCACGGAGGAAATCACTTCCGGTTTCAAATGTGACGCATGTGTCCTATGCGTTTCTGCGAGCCCATGTTACTACAATACATGAAACCGCTGTAAGCATTTGAGTCAAACATTTCCTTGTTTTCTCGTGTTGTTTTACTGTTTATTTTTTATTTTTTTATGAACACCGGTATCAAAAAGGCCCCGTTGGGATTGGAATCCTGGATCTCCTGTTTATTAGACAGGCACTTTAACCATCTAAGCCACGGCGCCATGTCACGGCGGGCCCGGCAGAAGGCACTATAAATAAGCACCTACATATCAGTAGGGTAAATATAACATTTGTTTTATTCGTAAAGCTCATGAAATAATCCACAATGTGTAAATAGGGTTATCTGAACATTTCTATACATTTAATTCACACTTCCTTCAGGGCAATCTCACCATAAATACTCTATAAAGTCACTGCTAATTTTTACAATTTGTTTTTTAAATACGTAGCCTATTTCAATGTACTACAACTCATTTCATCAGTCAACCCAAAATATAATCGATCATTGCAGCAGAAATGTCCAATTCCGACAGATTGAAGTTGTCCAGCTCCGGAAAGCACATACTGGAGAGGTCATTTGTGGACACGTCGGTGATGGAGAAGCTCTGCTGGCTCGGCATGCTCTCCCTGGGTTCCGGATGTCCCAATTCAGCGCAGCGACTCCCAACAGGCTGGGATACCTGTTCTTCCCCGAGGAAAGCCTCAAACTCCTCCGTCCAATCCCATTCAATGAGTCCACTGTGTGGGAACAATGGGCAGTAATCGGTAAAGTCAGGGGTTTGGTAGTCTTGGGTAACTCGCGGTCCATGAGGGAAGCACGGTGCAGCTTGGTCGGCGGCCCAGGGCGATGTAGGTGCGGGCACCCCCTGGATGGTGGAGAGCCTGGTGGACTGAGGTAGACTGGGAGCAGGGTAGCCTGGTGGGGACGGCAGGCTGGGGTAATGAGGGAAAGCAGGAGCAAACTGTGGGAAGGGTGGACTGGGAGAAGGTGTGTAGGAGAACTGGTGGAGGAAGTCTGACGAGGGCTTGGGGATCTCTCTGGAGGATTTTTTGCTTTTGAAATAGCGAGCTCGTCGATTTTGAAACCAGACCTGTTGAAGAGAATGAAATGTGGTTATTGT